AAATCAGCTTAATGGGCTGACTTGCCAGAAGGTACATTTAGGCCTGGTCTCAATGCCCAGGCACCTGCAGATTCCACTGCACCAGGGCATTACTCTCTGATTTTACTTCTTCACTCACCGGGAGATTCTGTGCCTGCCCCAGTTCTAATATTCTGGAATGTGGTTACTAATGAAACTCAGGCTTCCTTTGTCCATAACTGCCTTGTCCCTGAAGAACTGGGCTGGTCACTTTTCTTGAAGGAATTGATTCCAGTGTATCATGTCCTTGGCCAGGTATTGGTGAGGGAAGGAAGAAAGTGCTTTTCCAGGACCCCAGTGCAGCACCGTCTGTTCCTGTAAAGGGAGCTTGTGCAGAAAGGTTCTTACCCTTAGCCTGGAAGCTGGCAGCTGTAAGTGGAATGAGCCCGGGTGCTGGAATAGGAGGATGTCGGCTTAAATCTGGCCTCTGCCACGTGTTAGTTGTAGTATTTGGGGCAAGGTTTCTCGTCCATCACAGGTGAATACTCATGCCTACCTCACAGATCGGAAAACTTGATGAAAATGTGTATGTACAAATGGCCAGCCTTAAGCAGGTCCTCAACAATTCTTTGGAAATTTGAATGTGAAGGGAATTTGGCTGATTTGACATCAGTGATACTAACACTGTAGAAAGTGTTAATAGACACTGCTAGAAAAAGGATTCTGTGCTTAAATAAGTTTAGGAAACTCTGGAATAAACAACTTTTTCTTCAGTAGGACTTTTGAGAGCCTTTAGTATGTGAATGTATATTGTGATTCTCTAGGAGGGGCTACTATAGGCAGGGATGAACAGTGCCCAGAGCCTTGGTGTGAGAGAGAGAGAGAGAGAGAGAGAGAGAGAGAGAGAGAGAGAGAGGGAGAGAAAGAGAGAAAGAAAGAAAGAAAGAAAGAAAGAAAGAAAGAAAGAAAGAAAGAAAGAAAGAAAGAAAGAAAGAAAGAAAGAAAGATTTGCCTACTGATTTTCTATGGACTGGACTGGCTGGAGGCTTCTCTTGACTGTTCTGGCCAACCCTGCACACAGTTGTACAGGGTGCCCCCTGGAGTGTGTGGCGTATGGCCCATGTGACTGTCCACAGTGGCCCTGTCCTCTAGTGTCTCTCTCTGAAGACCTGACCTGTGCCCTTTCTCAGTTCACTGCAAGGGCGAATGAGTTGGGAAAAGACTGGGAATGGGGAAGGTGATGCAGTGGGAAGAGGGTGATGGGGTATGGTAGGTCATTTCTGAAATAGCCAAAAAGGAGTGTCCTTTTGGCACACATTGAAGAAAGTCGGCCTATTCCAACCTGTTGGACTGGCACCTGCAGACTTCAGACTTATCTAGGACAGCGCCTTTATTTGAGGAGGAAGAGACCGAGGCCGAAGCTAAACGGCCTGCCCTCCTGAGAGCCTTTGCTCCCACATGTCCTTTGAATACTCTTGAGATTCAGAAAGAAAAGCCACCATGTGTTAGAAAGAGTGCTGTGGAGACCTGCAGGGTGGCTGGATTCCTGGGGAGCCACCCATATCTGCCCCCGCCTCGGACAGGTGCAGGGAACTTATACCAGGTCGTCTATTACTTGGAAGTGAGAATGTGGAAAGATGGAGGGGTCAGGCTTGGGGGATTATCACTTGTTTTTGGATTGTCTCCCTTTACCAGTTTTGTGACTTGGGCCTCAGTTTCCTCTTCTGTAAAAGAGGATTCGAGAGGTAGTAACCCACCTGAGAGGGTTGTGTTGAGGAATCAGTGTGTAGAACAGTGCCTGGCACAGACTGAGTATTAATAAATGTTACCTCCCAGTGTGGCTGAGACTGAGAACAATGAAGGGAGATGAAAATGGGGAGGAGTGTTGGGGCATCTGCAAAAAGCCCAGGAACCACCTGCTGTAAGAGTTTGACTTTGAACAGAAATACAGCATGGTCTCCTCAGGCGGCAGTACGGCCTTGTTTCTTCTTCATCCTTAAAATCCTGAGGCTTACAGCTCAAGGCCTGGGACACAGTTGATGCCTAAGAAATGTTTGCTGCCTGAGGCTGAGTATTTTGGTTTCTGCAGAAGTACAGTAGGTCTCTCTCTAGTCCAGGTGCTGGTGAGAAAGTCAAGTGCAGTTCCTCTGAAGGCAAACCCCAAGGCCAGGGAATGGGGGCGGGGCTGCTTCTTGAGGAGAGATGTCCCACACTCCCCTGAGCATTGCCCGTCAGGAGCTTCTAAGGAAAATTGTTTAACTTCAACCAATAAACCTATTAGAACGACTCAAAACAAAGCTGAGTCTCCAGACCCACTGCTTCCATTCCCCTAATCTCGTGAAATATGGTGGGTATAGGACAGAGGAGGCAGCCATACACCTCAGGCTCCCTTAGATCTTGTTGCCATTGCCATGAGGCCAAGCTCCAGGATTCCTTTACTATCCCAGTGCCCCAGCCTGGGGAATGTGGCTTGAGAGTGCCCTGTCCCACGGGCGGGCACACAAGGCAGGTCAGCAGAAAGGATGTCCCGGTGCTGGTCTACAGGGCAAAGCCTTACACGGCCCTGGGGTTCGGCTGGGCTGCATGTGCCTGCGCTGCTTCTCTCCCAGTTGTTTCTGTGTATATTTGCAAGGAAGATGTTAACACTTCCTAACAAGCCTTTGTGTTCATCTAATCTTTGCTGTTTAACCTTTGACTCCCCCCTATTATCAGTGTCTGCCACCTTTGCTGGCCAGACCGAGGGCCCCAGGAAAAGACCTCAGCTCAGGCTGACTAGGAAGAGGATGAGGCCGGCATTCCACTCCAGTTTGCAGGCAGATGGATCACCTTTCCCTGGGGCAGAGCTTTGGAAAATAAAGCAAGCCTATGGTGCCATTAGGACCTCCCAGCCCCCACTCCTTTTGAACTGTCAGCCTTTAAGTAAACATTCTTTTCCTGCCATGGGTCCCAGCACCTTGGTGGGGAGTGGGGAACCTGGGAGGAGAGGGGCCCTGAAGAGCCTCTGCTAAACTAAGGGATTTGGGCAGGGAGAGTGGGGCAGAAGTGCTACATTGATGTCAACTCTCTGAGTCCCCAGGGCATCAGGGCTTTTGAAGTGGACTCAAGGTAGCTGTCACCACAAGGACCAGGCTCCTCTGAAGTATTAAAAGCCCCATCCTCCCCAGGCCCCTCACTTGAGTGTGTTTGTACCTGCCTGCAGCGTTTCCCTTCCCAACCCACACATCCTGGCAGCAGCGGTGATGCTGTGCCTGGGTGACAGGTCTGGCAGCCACTGACCAGAGCCTAGCTGCACTTCCAAGGAAGATGCCAAAAGGGCCTATTGCTAGCAATGAGTAGGCCATTCTTTGTGCTCTGGTGTGATAAGCACCAGACCAGGAGCAAGGAACATCAGTCCTGACCTGTGGCAGCAAAGCAGTCCAGGGCCCCAGAGATACAGCTTCCCTGATAGCTCGATGGTTTGTCCTGTCAGGGAGCTTTCTCCTGTGATGTACTTCCCTCTCTGGCCGGCAAGTAGAGTCCGCTAATAAGGCCTTAAGAGACCCCAACAAAGGAAAAGGTAGCTGAGGTCTTCACTGGAAGCCCCCTGTCAGCTTTGGGGGGTCGCCCTCGATGTCTCTATTCTGTCCCTGGTTAGCGCACATGTCCCGTTTTCTTGGGATCCAGAGGAGGGCTGGCTTGCTCGAGCTATCTGCTATCTGTCCTGGGTAGTCCTAAACCTCAAGTATGAGTCACTAATCCCTGGTTAGTCGAGGAATCATGACCAGTTCTGCTCTTCTGCTGGACTGGCCATAAGGCCTTTGATCCTTTTCTTCCCAAGGCCACTAAGCTCCAAAATACTGGTGTTCCAGTGGGCTTCCTTTCTTCCTCTCTGGCTGCTGGAAGTGCGAGAGAACGTTGTAGAAGCTTAGCAGTACAGGGCCTGATGCCAAATTGTTGGAATCACCTTGTTGGGTGTCCCCATGACCTCTTTTTGTCCCCACAGGTACTACAAGAAGTTCTCCATTACTGACCTGGACAGATACCAGCTGCCTCTGGATGATTCTTTGCTGAGCTTTGCTTATGCCAACTGCACCCTGATCATCTCCGTAAGATTCACCCAGACATCTTAGCCACTGCGTCAGGGAGAGCCTCCCTCCTTCCCTGCCCACTTCCCATTCCATAGGAGTCCTCAGCCTAGCCTCAACCCGTGGGGTGTACTAGCTGCAGAACAGGCATCTCTGTTTCAGCATGGGGAGAGCAGGGTGGGGCTCGGGGAGGAATCTGACAGCTAGAAGAGGACAGAGGGTGATGGGGAGGGATGGAAATCACAGGCTGGGGCTCTGGTTCAAGGCCTGCTCCTACTTAGCCATGTGACTTTGAGCAAATCAGTCAAGGCCTCAGTTTCCTCATTTTTGAACAAAGGGATCAAAAGGGGCCCCGTCTGTGTGTGTGTGTGAAGTGGAGGGCGGAATGTGACAGAATGATGTCCTCTTTCTGGCCCATCTATAGTACCAGAAGCCAAAGGAAGTCCTGGTGGCCGAGTCAGAGCTGCAGAAGGAGCTGAAGAAGGTAAAGATGGCCCACAGCAGTGATGGGGACTGTAAAACCCAGTAGTGGACCCTGAGCCTGCACCTCCGGCATGGAGGGTGAGTGAGCTCTTCTGTCACCTGTAAGACTCACAGCCTGGGCCTTTCTGGTACAGGGCAGCCTCCTCTCTTCCAGCAGCTCTACAAGCTCTGTAAGAACTGGCCCCAGGGCACTCCTGGCCCCTGCATCATGGTCTTCTCTCTGAGTAAAGTTTTGAGTCACTGCGGGAACACTGCCCTCTTGTCCACTTCTGTCTGCTCCTACGCCCGGGGAAGGAGCTGGTGGCGACACTCCCTTCTCTATCCTAGGGACCTTCCATGGCCAAAGGGGTGGGTGGTCAATGAGAGGGTTTCCTGAAAAAAAGAAAACCTTTGTTCTTTGGGACACTGAGCCATGAGGCTGGTCTTACTCTTTCCCAGCATGTACATCTCAAAATTTGAATCCGTTGTCCCCTCTCCAGCAAGTGAGGAACCAGATCTTTGAACAATTAAGCTTTATTTTTACAAAAATGAATATTGTAGCGTGTCTCAACAGCTGGCCTGAGGCTGGGCTGGCTGAGAGCTCACTCAGAACTTCTGGGTTTCCTTTATCCTTTCTTGGTTTCAAAGGGAGACCAGGCCATAGTGCCCCAGGAATGAGTCCCCAGCCCCAAAAACTTGTCCAAAGGTGGGGTCTGACTGAGGAGGTGGGGGCTGGTGCCAGCAGGGGTATTGGCAGCCACACCCTCCTTCCAGGGAAAGGGCAGAGAGGGACCACTGGGAAGGCCGGAGCACCTCACCTCACCTAAGCTGTCATGGCTTTAAGGGGTGAGGTGCAGGCGGGGGTGCCTCTCTAGGCCAGATCCTTGCTCTGGCGGATGGGAAAGCAAGGCCCAGTGGGTTCAGCTTCACTCTCCCAAAGCAGTAGGTCTCTTCTCTCCAACTGGTTCTTGGGAGGGGCTGTACCACTGGGTAATCTGAGTCCCAGGAGTCAGCAGCCTTTGGCTTAAGTGCTCAAGCACTGTGGTTGCAGGTCTGGGAGCACAGGCACGGGTGGGGAGCATTATCACTGCACCCTCCAAGCAAGAGAGGTCCCTGAGTAGCTAGCTTCCCTGGCCCACAGCTAGGGTGGCCCTGCCTGTCACGGGTTTTGAAAGTCCAGGACGTGAAGGTTGTAAGATAGCGCTGCATAGAGATGCTTGGTGGTGAAGCGCAAGCAATACACCGGACTGCTCAGGGGTGTCGACGTCAGCGGGAAGGCCTGCAAGGGAAGGCACACAATGACAAGAGTGGCCCGAGTAGGAGATAGGGGAGCCCAAACCCAGGACTCCCAGGCCCAGTGCAATGGGTCAGGTGCACTGTGGGCTTCCTCCACCGCTCCAGGCACACCCACTCTCAGGTGCAGCCCATAAACATGAGTGCTGGCTTCCGGGAGGTGTGCGTGAGGTAGGCGGGATGCTTACGTGTAGGCAGGCCCTTTGGCGCCGGTCCCACAGGCGTACAACCCCGTAGTAGGAGGAACCTGTGGCCAGCAAGTGGTTCCCATCCGTCTGCAAGCAGTACAGGGTGCTGTCGTGGGGCTCCTCCCACTCCATGACACACTTCCTGTCCAGGAAGAGGCGATGCAGGGGAGCTCAGGATGCCCTCCCTCCACCCCACTTCCCCATTCTGGCTGGGGGAGAGGCTGAATCACCAAATTCTTTAAAAAGCAGCCTTAATGGGGGAAAGCCTCCTCAGTAAAGGTCTCTTTCTTATCAAACTCCAGACCCCAGGGTAGCTTATGCCGCCATTTGTGTTTCACTTGGCTGACTACATGTCACAGGACCTGTAAGGCCTTAGAAAGGTAGGAAGGCTGGGACAGAATGCTGAGAGGCGGCACCCTCACAGCTCCCAAGGCTCTGATCAGGTCCTGGCGGCTACGCTCTCCCAGGTGGGAAGTCCAAGCTTGATCTGACCTTGCCGCTGCTCCCTACCGGTCCCTGACATGGAGTCTGTACCTCCTCCCACCAAGACTGACATAGGTCTCCCACCACCTGTCCTGCCCAGCACACTCACCTGACACTGGCTCGGAGGTCCCAGTATCGAACGTAGGTGTCATAGCCACAGGACAGGAGCGTGAAAGGGGACTCGTACATGAGGTCCAGCACCCCAGCCCCTGGGGGAAAGTCACTGCCCAGGTGTGTCATCAGCTGCCCACTGGGAAGAGAGAGGGGCAGAGGATGAGCCACTGTCCCACCTTGGCCCACACAGATTCTTTGAACCTCCAAATGGTTTCAGTCCCTAAGGAAATGCAGCTCTCCTTCCTGAACTAGAATTAGACTCCCTTAGGAAGGGGGGCTGAGGGAGGAGATGCCCCAGACTCCCTTCCCTCCCACCCCAGTCCCTCCCCCCAGCTAAAGGCCTCAATCAATCACCATCAGCCCCTCCATCACACCTGCACACTGGCCACCCGCCACCCAGCCTCTCCTCTGCCGGAGGATGAATGGGCCTTGCTGAAGGGGTTGCCCCTCACACCACACACACACACACACACACACACACACACACACAGTTACTTTATACTCCTTGATCCTGCAGGTCATGCAGTTCTGAGCTGCCTGCGTCCAATGCCTTAATTCCCGCCTGTAATCTGGGGCTCAAACCTCATTGGGGATAAAGACCACACAAAGGGAGAAGGGGAGTCCCAGGAGATGTTAAAACAAGTAAACACCTTTGTGTCTGGGGACAGAAATCGCTGAGAAAGCAGCTTAGCGGGCTGGTCCCTGGTGTTCCTGGCCAGGCTGGCCCCCAGCCCGGGGCGAGCACGCCTCTGTGATCACAGCCCCCAGCCTGCTGGGCTCCAGCTTGCTCCCCCACCCTCGCCCCTCCCGGTGGCCAAGAGCAGATTACTGAGAAGAACAATTTCTTTGTGACTGTGTAATTCCCTCCGTGACCGCGGCAGTGGGCAGACCCCTCGCCTGATGCCAGACCCCTAGCAACCATGTAGGGGGGCCTCCTGGCCCTAGCAACTACCCCTCAACATCAAGTGCACCCGCTAATCCCTATGGCTAGGGGACGGGTAGGAGCAGTGAGTTTGCAGCATGACTGGGGGAAATGAAGGAGAAGAGGGGCACCCTCCAGACCCCATTCCTCAGCTTCAACCAAAAGATGCTGGGCTCTCGGATACGTCCCAGGGACTCACAGGTAAGAGGCTGGGCACGGAGCGGGAGGCCTTCGTGGTCGCACCAGCCCAGCTTTGGCCCAAAGGGCTTAAGGCTGATGGGGCTGCCAGTCACATGTGTGAATGTGGCCCTCAGCTCTAGTCCTTCCACCTCACACAGATGCTGCCCCTCTTCATTCCTTCTCCCCACTGGAGCCACCATCTTCCCTGAAGGCTGAAGGAGTAAAGGAGGAGGCTGTGGGCTCGCTCCTCTCTGCCTTTCCCCTGGAGCCCTGGACAGAGACATGACCCCCAGCAAGGTACACGGTTGCTGTCTGGTGGGGGGGGCTAGGCCCTACGTCAGCACCCTGTCCCCCCGCCTCCTTCCCAGGGAAGAACACAGGAGAAGCCTGTGTCGGGAGAGGGGTGTCGGGGAGAATCCCGAGAAGGATCAGGCAGAAAGCCCTCTCTCCAGATCAGCGGCTCCTAGAGATCACAGACCGGGCTCCCAGGAAGCCCTTCACTAGCCGTGACTCCCCCGGCTGGGCAGGCGGGAGCCCTGCAGGCGGCTGGTCTCTCACAGGCACAGGTGCAGATCTGTGCACACCGGGTAGCTCCACAGTCCTCCCTCTCCTTCCAGATTGGGGGCCCTGCCCCTCCATTAGCGAGGCCTTCAGGAATGACTGAGGAGCTCTCCCCTTTAATCTGTAGAAGTAATTTCATGTTTGTCTGTTTGAAATAGAAGATGAAAGGCAGTAGGGTTGGGGGTGTGAAGCCCAGCATGGCTCTGCCTGCCCACTGCTGGTCCCAGGGTTGAAAGGGAAGCAGAGCTGGGCATCCATGGCTAGGCAGGGTCAGCAGCGTAAGGGCCACACCCAGACCAAGTTGTCAACCTGGGTCCATGCCCCCATGTCTGAGCCACCACTGGAAAGTGTCAGCCACAACATCTGCAATAAGAAACACAGAATCACCCTAGCTGGTTTGGCTCAATGGGTAGAGCGTCATCCTGTGGTCTGCAGGGTCCCAGGTTCGATTCCGGTCAGGGGCACATGCCCGGGTTATGGGCTCAGCCCTCAGTAGGGGATGTGCAAGAGGCAGCCGATCAATGATTCTCTCTCATCATTGATGTTTCAGTCTCTCTCTCCCTCTCCCTTCTTCTCTGAAATCAATAAAAATATATTAAAAAAAGAAACACAGAACTCTGCCCTGCGGGCGAGACCCAAGAGCAAGAGTGAGCCTCAGCCCCTGGGGCCAGGACAGGTCCTTGAAAGCCCGTCTGCCAGCCCAGCCTGGCCGGGCTGTTTTCTTTCTGGTGCACGCTTCTCCGATTCTCTGTAACGGCCACACACGCTTTAAATGGGCCAATAAAAAGATACAATTTCTCTTGTCGCTGGGCCTGGACCCTCAAGGCTGTTGTGCAGTGCTCGTGAGGTTAAGTTCAGAGCATAAACGGACACACCGCGCTCTGGGGAATGGCCAGTCTCTTCCAATAGCGGCCCAGCAGTACCATAGGAGCCCTGCTGGGGTTTTGATTTGGGAAAACAAACAGAAATGGCACTGTGGGCCCTTTGTGGCCCCTACCCCAGGACCAATTTAACTAGAAAACTCTAGCTTATCTGCTGTGGTGGAGGGAGAGAGACTGGCTGACAATAGCCCCAAACTTTGGGGGGAGGGGGACAAAGCAAGCTGTCTGTCTCGTCAGCCCCTCCTCCGAGCTCCTTTTCTTACTGCAAGTGTATTTTTGTAAAAAAACAAAAAAAACAAAAAAAGATTAGATTGCAATTTGTATAACATGGTGACCCCCAAATTCAGATGTTTCACCCCTTTTCTCTGGAAAGAATGTTAAGAATGCCTCTGGGCCTATCACTGTGGGGGGCGGGAGGGGTGCATTGCCTTGGCTGTGGAACAACTTGTGTGGGAGCCGGGCTGCTGCTCAGAGCCCAGGCCAAGACAGGAGCAAGGACAGGGTCTGTCACTATAGAAGGCCGGACAAAAAGTCCATTCCCTTCCAACTCCTGTGCACAAAGCCCGGGCCTCCAGGAGCTGCTGAGGGCTGGGGAGGGGTGTGGAGGGGGGAGCCTCCTCCCCCAGCCTCCCCCAAGCATGACTCCAGCAATTCTCTCTCGACCCAGGGAAAGATAAAGACAGATGGGGCCGCCCCTGTGATCCTGATGAATGCGACCAGGCAGGGAGGACAGCCTGAAGGAAATGTGTTCACAGCCTGGTTATGTAGGGCCTCATCCCAGGGACCCTTGAGGAGGGAAATAAGGTCTCCCTGGCCCAACCCACCCTGCTGCCCAGGCAATTCCACTGATGCTGGAGGGCAGTGGGAAGAAAGAGAGGAACTCCCTAATAGTCAGGGAGGAGAAAAATGTAAATAAGACCCTGATCCACCCCCACCCCATGACCATCTTTATGGGAAAAATAACAGAAGGTAAGTGCTAGCCCTGAAGACCCGGATGTCTGACCTGGGAGGGGCCCTGAGTGCCAGGCTGGAGTCAGGCAAGGTAGGGCAGGCTCTAGCAGAAACACCCCACCACTCCCAGGCTGGGCCCTGAAGAGCCAGGAAGCCTGGTACCCTGCTCCCCTCTCTCTTCCCTCCCTCCCTCCCCTGAGACCTCTCATCCCAGCCTCTGGACACTTCCCCATAGAAAGTCCGCCTGTGCTTAAGCGCCCTGAAATGCCCCCTGGCTCCCACCTGCCTGCCCACATCTAAGAATTCCTGTGGCCCACACACCATTTTACAGCCACTATTAATGTACTGGGTTCCTGGTGATGTTCCCTGGAGATCCTATGGGTGCTCTTTCCTGAATCTGTTTGGGGGTGAAGACACGCCATCTTGCATGTGCTACCACAAAATGCAACAATGGCTTTTGGTGGAGGGAACGGGTGGGAAGGTGACAAACAGTTCAACCTTCTATGTATCTCCTATTCCCAGGAGATAGATGGCCTATAGGCATAAGCTGGGCCCAACATGGTTGCTAAGAAAGTGGGAGGTTTTCCCTCCCTTCCTCCCCTCCTTCCTCCCCTTCTTTCTCTCTTCCTTTCCTTGACCAACAGCCATTTACTAAGCCCCTTCTGTACACAAGGCACTTTAGGGAGAGGCGAGGTTGAGGGAGAGAAGTCCGCCTCGTATCCAACTACCAATACAAGGTGTGACCTGGTGGCACCAGAAGGAGATGAAAGCAAGTGTTATGGGTGCAGACTCAGTGATTCAGTGAGTGACAGGGTTGTGACAGGCAATGACAGAGAGAGGGGATGGCCTAGGTCCGTGGTCGGTAAACTGCGGCTCGCGAGCCACATGCGGCTCTTTGGCCCCTTGAGTGTTGCTCTTCCTAAGCCTTAGGAGTACCCTAATTAAGTTAATAACAATGTACCTACCTATATAGTTTAAGTTTAAAAAATTTGGCCCTCAAAAGAAATTTCAATCCTTTTACTATTGATATGTGGCTCTGTTGACTAATGAGTTAGCCGACCACTGGCCCAGGTGAAGGACCAGCAACAACAAAAGTGCAGAGCGGGGCGCCTGGTTGGCAATCTGGTTTAGTTAGAGGCTTGGTCTGTGAGGGGGGCAAGTTGGTATGACCTGGTTCCCAGGCCATGGTGGACATACTGCTCAGCTGCCATGAACTCCAGGAGGGGCAGAGAGCTGCAAGGCTTTTGAGCAGGGAGTGGCTGTCCTAGTCCACCCTCTGGTGGGGAGAGCAAGAGAACCAAGGAGGCAGACAGGTCCCACGAAGTGGTGATGAGAAGCCCATGAAAGCTTCGTCTGCCCCAGCCCTGCCAGGTGAGAGGGAAGGGCCCTTGCCAAGCACACAGCCTCTCACATGCATGTGTGTACGCGTGCATGGCCTCCAGCACCGCCCATGCACACATGTTCAGACACAATGACTCAAAGGCCAGGCAGTCCACTTTGTACTGCTAACAAGGGGACCGTAATTACAGGAAGGGGCAGCGGGCAGATAAAAGGATACAAAATTTCAACATCTGTTGCCATAAAGGGATAAGGAGAAGTGAAACGCAAAGTATCAGTTTGGTGTCAGTGGGCAGAGAGCCA